GACATTGTTACAGATAGAGATAGACAATACCACAGACACAAACAGATTATGTAACAGACACAGGCAGACATTGTTACAGTTACAGATACAGATAGACAATACCACAGATACAAACAGATAATGTCACAGCTGCAGGCAGACATTGTTACAGTTACAGATAGACAATACCACAGACACAAACAGATAATGTCACAGCTGCAGGCAGACATTGTTAATGTCACAGCTGCAGGCAGACATTGTTACAGATACAGGTAGACAATACCACAGACACAAACAGATAATGTCACAGCTGCAGGCAGACATTGTTACAGTTACAGATAGACAATACCACAGACACAAACAGATAATGTCACAGATGCAGGCAGACATTGTTACAGTTACAGATAGACAATACCACAGACACAAACAGATTATGTCACAGATGCAGGCAGACATTGTTACAGTTACAGATAGACAATACCACAGACACAAACAGATAATGTCACAGCTGCAGGCAGACATTGTTACAGTTACAGATAGACAATACCACAGACACAAACAGATTATGTCACAGATGCAGGCAGACATTGTTACAGTTACAGATAGACAATACCACAGACACAAACAGATTATGTCACATAGACAGGCAGACATTGTTACAGTTACAGATAGACAATACCACAGATACAAACAGATAATGTCACAGCTGCAGGCAGACATTGTTACAGATACAGGTAGACAATACCACAGACACAAACAGATAATGTCACAGCTGCAGGCAGACATTGTTACAGTTACAGATAGACAATACCACAGACACAAACAGATTATGTCACATAGACAGGCAGACATTGTTACAGTTACAGATAGATAGAGATAGAGATAGGCATTATCAAACATAGATGTAGATATTGCCACAGACACATTTTGGCAATGCCACAGTGAGGTAGAAATTATCATTGACACAGGTAGGCATTGGCACACAGAGAGGTAGAACACATGAACACAGATATGCACAACTGACACAGACATGTTACAGACATGTTACAGACATGATACAGATGCAGCTGCAGACATGGATACCCACGTCACATCATGTTATATTCCTGCATCGGCCATGTCGTCCCCCACAACTGGACATGCCCCGGCATGTTTCCGGTCAGCAGTATTGACGTACATACAACAGCCAATGTCATTGATTCCAGACCTATTTCTAGATGCTTATTCATCTGTGCATCCTGTGTTGGCATGACAACCAGTTGATGTGTTTATCAGGCTGATATCCAGTGATTACAAAAGACCATCCCCACGCCCTCCAGCCCTCCCCCAAGCCAGGAACTGGAGGGAGGGGGGGAGGGGTAACATGCTGACATTTGCTGACAGGAGTAAGCTACCAATTAGGAAGAATTTGTTTTCATTTTATGGTGCATCTTTGACTTAGGAGTTATCACCTTACTTGTCTGAGTGTCCTAGACTATTGCCAGCTCTCTTATGCCTTTCGCTGATCTATTTTTGGCTTCAAATGAAATAAAAAAGACTTAAGATATGACAGCGGGTATATTATTGTGTCGGTAGAGGATGTTGCATTTGGCTGTTGCTGGGGCATGTCAAATGCCTCATTCATCCTACTGCTCTCTTTTGCTCACTCATTTATTTTGTCACTCCTTCCATCTCTTCACCCAATAAGAACACAAATCAGAACAGGTGCCCGGTACTTGTCACTTGTCACTGTAAAGGACAACCTATGTATCAGAGATCTGATTCAGGTATTTGGCTGATTGTGTGTCATCATACCAGACCATATGGGATGCTGCTGATTCCTTCCAAACTGTTCCGATTCTTTCCAAACCATTTCGATTCTTTTGTGTCCTTTTCCATTCTTTCCAATCCGTTTCAATTCTTTCCAGACCATTCTGATTCCATGCAGACCGTTTTGATCCTTCCCAAACTGTTTCAATTTTTTCCTGACCATTCTGATTCCATGCAGACCGTTTTGATCCTTCCCAAACTGTTTCAATTCTGTCCAGACCATTCTAATTCCATGCAGACCGTTTTGATCCTTCCCAAACTGTTTCAATTCTGTCCAGACCATTCTAATTCCATGCAGACCGTTTCGATCCTTCCCAAACTGTTTCAATTCTTTCCAGACCATTCTGATTCCATGCACAGACTGTTTTGATTTTCTCCAGACCATTTCAATTCTTTCCAGACCATTCTGATTTCCATTCCATTTTGATTCTTTCCATTCCATATTGATTCTTTCCAGACCATTTTGATTCTTTCCAGACCGTTTCCATTGGTTCCAGGTGTGATTACTTCCTTCCTTATTATCAGATTATTCCTGGTATCTTTTGATCTCATGGTCTGTCTCATGGCCCTTGATCCATATTTTCCCTTCCTTCTGTAAAGTAAAAGAAGCCTAGATTTCTTAAAGAAGAAAGTCTAGATTTCTCTCAGGTTCTCCCCACATGGGTATTTCTACCATCTTGAATATTGCTAAAGCACCAAACTCAGTCAGTCAGTCAGTCTTTCTACTACCATCTCACTGGGGCTCCTTTACCTTTCACATGGAGTTTTTAGTTTCTAGCGAACTTGAATACTTCAGGGAATGAGTGATAGTCTATGTTACTGAATCTGAGATGAGAAGGAAAAATATGAATGAAACCAAAACTTCTTCATCTTTTGTTTTTTGTAAGCCTCTCTTGTACTCCTTGTTCTATTTTTCCTTATCTGATGTACATTCATCACTGTCGTATATCAGTCACTTTGGATTATGGAGTTAAGTTGTTATTTTCTTTTCATATGATTTCTTTTCATTGTCAATAATCATAAACAGTAATTCTGGTGTCACAAAACAAAATTTATGAACCATCTTGACAATCAAGAGAAATAGTTTTAATTGACAAGTTATCAGCTTTAATAATGAAGTCTGGCCTTTCGTATTTTCCTTTCCAATGCCTTGATTGTTACTCTGGAGAATACCATCTCATCGATTTCTGAATACACCACAAGAACCAAAATCTCTTGGCGCTGAGTTTCAGGACTTTCAACGAATAGCATCAATAAAGAGGATCTACATTTCCCCCAATTTCCCTTCCTGAATTCCCCATGAGGGCTGTTAATCTTGATTTTACAACATTATACTGGCGGGGATAGAAATTAATTACATACCGAATATTGTAATGTAATAAATGACCCTAATTGTTGAATGTTACATTGTAATGTAATTGATAATCAGTCCAACATTTTCCGTCTGATTTTGACTAAATACCAATTCTGAATGTCAGAATATAAGAATCTAATAAAGTTTTTTTTGCACCAGTGGTCCCATTACCGATTTCCTTCAGTGCAAGTAGGTATGAAATGGAGTGATGTCAATTTCAGAGCTGAAAGCACAAATTGCAATTTATGATGTCGTCGATTGCAGACGTAATGTACATTTCAATCATGATGTTCTGTGTACATGGAACAGACATCTTATTTCCCGGCCAAAAAAGTACTAAAATATAACAATGGCTAGTCTAGCCATACTGGTTTATTGGAATAGTCATTATTCTCGGTAATGGCGGTTTTAATGTCATTATGACATGACCTTCTTCTTCAAGATTCTGTCTATTTTTGACATTTCACTAAACCATTCACGTTCTGTTGGTGTAAATGTGTCAGAGATTCAATAACAAGTATAAAACATGAATCTTTTATGAAACTGTGAAGTTGATCAGGAAACTTTAAAAGAAATGTTTATAAGTTTTTTTCATGTATTTGTCTCCTGATGTCATGGGAGAAGAGCTTAATGTTTGCTTCATGCACAGAGCAGATACAGAAGAAATGCATCTGAAAACTGTGGATAAATTCACACTAAAAGCTATTCCCTGAAATGTGTGAATTCAACCCAAGTATTTCCATAAAAAGAAGGTATTTTTATAATTGGCGACCATGTGTTATCACCAACGATGGTTTGTGAGCCACATTAATGCCCTGTGTGATGGGAACAAAACAAAATTGGAATTAACCTCAGCTGGTATTGTAAATTCTGTGTCTGAGATGCCCTACTGAACGTGCAAATTTTTTCACTGTTTAAGTGTATAGGGTTTTACAGAGTGCCGAAATGTACATCAAGTATCCATGTATGTCTACAAATGGACCTTGGGTGTGTGGGGGGTGGGTGGGTTGGTGGGGGGTCTGTGTGTGTGTGTGTGTGTTTAAGCCTAGTGATTAATGTGTTCGCTTGCCATGTCGAAGGCCTGGGTTCGATTCCCCAAATGGGTACAACGTATGAAGCCCATTTCTGATGTCCCCTGCCATGATATTGCTGGAATATTGCTAAAAGCAGCGTAAACCTCAACTCACTCACTCACTACAGTCGACTTGTAACAGGGCAAGGAATCCTCCTTCCCATTCACCTCTTTAGTTATGTGGACAAAGCATCTATCTTCAGATCAGAATGTCCTTGGTTCGAATCCCAGCATGAGCCTTGAAACACTTATTGCTGCTTCAGACATATTTGAAAATATACATTGAATCCCCTTGATTGACATTCATACTCATTGCACCAAACTTGTGAGTGAGTGAGTGAGTGAGTCTTGCATCAACAACTATGCAGGCATTTGTAGCAAGCCAAACTTTTGGATTTACAATGCCATTTAGAAAGTGGTCAAATGTAACAATGTAACCATGGAAGTCTTTGTGTGCTGTTGGTTTGGTGCCTGACTCTGAGGGTGTGGGTTGGAATCCCAGATGGGACTCAACCCAACAAAAGTACTAGAACATGTACTTTACTAAGAAAGTGTAATCCCAAATGTAACATGTGTTACACCAAACTCTTGACTCCTATTTCCTGTAAGGAACCCTGAAATTAGTTTTTGAACGTCATTATTGAATCTCACAGTATTGACCTCAACACCATTTCATTCCTTAACAGGACCGTGATGTTTCCGGATCCCTGAAGTCAGTTATTTTTGGGAGACCTCTTGTTTTGAAGGTCAAAGTAAACCCCCGTGTGTGACCTTGCTGTATTCCAGGTAATCCTATGTGACAGCCCCGTGGAGATGCTTGAACACGTGGACCCGTCCATGCTGACCACAGACGTGGGCGGGGCTCTGGAGTATGACCCGAGTGAGTGGACTGAACACAGATCGGTGAGTGTGAGGGTGGTGAAGATTGATTAAGTGATTCTTAAGATGCTTTGAATGGACTTTGAACTGTTCTTGTGAAAGATTTGGAGTTATGTGTGTATCGATCATATTTTTCACCAGGGAGTGAAATTACCGATAAAGATAACAACAATGAGAATCAGTAGATCCTGGGGGATGATGATGATGATGATGATGATGATGATGATGATGATGATGATGATGATGATGATTTGGGTCAGATGATGATGATGGTGATGGTGACAACAACAATGATGATTTGGGCAGTGATTTTGGGCAGATGATGATGATGATGATGATGATGATGATGATGATGATGATGATGATGACGACGATGATGAAATTGTTACTCATAAGACCATGCCCTTCCACCCTATACAGCCAAATTTCATTATTGTTTTCCAGGCAATCGAGAAGTTTGCTTTCAATGTCGACGCCATAGGCAAAACTCTGAATAACCTAGTCAAGAAGCTGGATGAGACAGACCTTCCAAACGACGTCCCAGGAACAGAGACGCTGATCAAAGGCCACATCCAGGAGCGGAAAGAAGTGATGGAGGATGTAGCCAACGCAGCCAGTCACGGCGACACGTTACTCAAATGTATCAGGGGAGACAACTCTGAAGTGCCTCTAGTCAAACTCACCAATGTCTTGGAGCTGGAAAGGTGAGTGGCTAACTCCTTCCCAACATACGACACCAGCATACAAGTGGCCTGGATCGTTAAATATTTCCTTCCAGCCTGAAATGTGAATGAGTGAGTGAGTAAGGGTTTTATGCTGGTTTTAGCAATATTCCAAAAATATCACGGCGGGGAACACCAGAAATGGGCTTTACTTTTTGTACCCATGTGGGAATCGAACCTGGACCTTCAGCGTGACAAGCGAAGCATTTAAGCACTAGGCTACACCATTGCCACTAATAGCAGATGTTATCTGAGGTTTTTATTAGCTGGCTATTTCTCTGATTATATACCAGTTTTGTTGTAATCAGGTTGGTTCAAGATTTCAAACTAATGAAAAAGTCTTCAACCTACCCTAATATTTTCATTGTAGTAATTACATAAAAGTTGGTATAATTAAAATGGAATAGTTCAAAACAATTTAGCTGGTTTAGGTTTCCTTATCGTTAAAACAGTCATCCATTTTGTTTAACAAAACAGTCAGTGAGTTCTGAACTCTTCTCGGGACAGTGGGGTAGTCTAGTGGTTAAAACGTTCACTCGTCTCACTATGACCTGGATTCGATTTTCCACATTGGTACAATGTGTGAAGTCCATTTGTGGGTCCCCTGCTGTGATATTACTGAAATATTGCTAAAGGCGGAGTAAAACCAAAGTCACTCACCCACTCTGAACTCCATGCATGGTTGGGAGCCATCTGGCAATAAGGGAAGTAGTAGCAGATAACAATGACATTATTGAGAGCTCAGGAATGAGCTTCACTGTGAGGAGCTTTGTATGAAATCAGATAAGCCAGTGTAGATGCCTTCAGTTTGCACTCCTTGCTGCACTGCAATCATCCTCGATAATCTCCAGGGTATACGTTCCGATAAATCTCCACTATACCCTGGATGCCTCTACGGCTCGAGCCGATGATTTTATTACCTCCCTTGGTTGGCTTTTTATCCAATCAGGTGTCTACGCTGGGAAGTTGAGCATACCAATGTATACCCTGGAGATTATCGAGGATGCACTGTAATGTATGCAATCGTATGAGGCAAGAGTTATCTCCCTTGTCTGGCTGAACTGTGAATGTTTGTAAGAGGTCTTGTGATCTTATTTGATTTATATTTGTAAAACCTTAAATTCAGATATTTCTACATGTGACAATTATGCTAGTTATTTTGTTGGTAATTCAAATATGATTAGACCTACATCTTTATATGAAACCGAGTGAGGTTTATGTAAATTGGAAGAAAGGTTTTTTGTTGAATAGACGATGACCACTCAATCTGTACATATTTTAGATTGACAATGTGAGTATTGTGTTATTGATATCTTGCCACTGAAGGGGCGGTGGGGTAGCCTAGTGGCTAAAGCGTTGGCTTGTCACGCCGGAGACCTGGGTTTGAATCCCAACATGTGCACAATGTGTGAAGCCCATTTCTGGTGTCCCCTGCCATGATGTTGCTGGAATACTGCTAAAAGCGGCGTAAAACCAAACTCAGTCAGTCTTGCCACTGAAACCAAGGCTTCAATTTATGTCAGGGTTTGCTGTGTGAAGTCTGAGAATCTGATGATCAGAGAAGCTAACGTAAAATCTCTTTATTAACTGTTTAGTGTACAATCATGATGAGAATTTTATCTTGCGTCTTCAGATCATTCACTTAATAGACAGGAAATAATTTATTCTATAGGACTTCTTTTGGTTTGGGGGGGCTTTACAAGCTGACTGAAAAAAATATAATTATGCATTAATGGCACTTTTAAGATTATATTTGTCCGATTTAGCAATTAAATATAAACCAAAAGTGAGATTTCATCATGCCTATTTATGTTGAATAATATGTGTAAAAACCTCATTATGACAATAAGGCCAATCTGTGGCTCTGTTGTCTTGTAATTGTTCCTCTGTGATGTTGTGACCAACCAAGTTGGAAGTTGAAAATTATTTTCATTTGTGTTTTCATCACTGAACAAGTACTTTATTCATAATAGTTATTCAGTATCGCAACATCTGTTCCAATTTTTTCTGTTTATTTCTTGATACAAATCTACATGACTGCCAAGCTGTGTTACCTCCAGACTTTTCAGTGTTTTTGATCAATTATACCATTTACACAGGAATAAGAGCTTAATGTGACTCAGATTTGTTTCAATTATTGAAAATACTTTGACCAATAACATCCTGGCTAGTGTTGATCATCAGCACCCCTTATGTGTCAAAACCCTTAATGGGATTACTGATTTGGTTGATGCATTGCATAATGCTCATGATTTCAATCACTGGGTTGTCGGGTTCAAACTCTGTTGTTTACAGACTGCTATCATGTAGCTGGAATATTGCAAAATTCGGGGTTCAACGTATAATAATAGTACTTAGCATTCTCTGACATACAATGCAATCCATATCAGTGAATGAGTATTTGACAGTGTTCTAATGGCAATTTATTGGTTAAATTTTCGACATAGTTGAAAAACTTATCAACATTTTCAAAATCAAAAATTCTGCTGAGTCAGCACAAATCAGATGGCATGAACAAGGATATTCTGTTTTAAATATTTATTCATACATATTTATATGCTAATCAACAGTGATGAAAAGCTTCTATTTGACAAATTTCAAAATTTAAAAGAAACAATTAAAAAGTGATTTCCTTCTTTACACTAAACAGCAAGACCAATTTGAATGCTTCACATTTTGATTAAAAATATAAATATTAATATTGTCTGAGACAATTTACCAAATATGGTTAGTTGCTGTGTAAATATTGTTCACGAGGCAACACTTTCCATCTTGAGTGAGGGCTGTGTGCCTAATGTGGCCGTGTATGTTTATGTAGATAGTATTTATACACGACAATGCTGTGGATTGTATATTTGTTAGGAATGGATACAAACAACACGTGGATCTTGCACTGACTGCTTGGCTCATCAACAAAGGTCATCTCAGAGTAGCCACATCAAGTGTCTTAATTAAACATCTTCGTAATTTGATGTTGCTAAGAATAGATATTTGTTGAATCAGAATCTAGCTGAGCTGCTATGTTGGTCTGTGTTAATTTCCTCGTTGGTCTGCTTCGTCACATGTTGTGTGTTAATTACATGTATACACGGCCGAAGATACAGGTTATGTTGACCAAAACATTGGGGTGATGCTGGGTGATCAGTGGTTAAAGTTGCAAAAAATAAATTAGGCCAGACCAATTTTATTTCTTGTTTTACGGATCTTCCTGTTGTATTTTTTCAAGAATAAGAAAAAAAATTAATTAATATTCCCAACTCAAAAAATAAAATCATAATGTTTTTATTGGCCCAAAATGTAAACTTACACGAAAATTTTGTTCAGATTTTTTTTTTGCCCCATATACACTTCATAAATTGGCAAAAGTAAAAAACTTTCAGTATTTAGTAGGAATATAACTTTGACTGGTGATTTTATTTTATTTTTTTTTCCCTCCTACCTTTAGGTTTTCTGAAGACAAAAATCCGTAAAACAAGAAATAAAATTGGTCTGGCCTTAATTTAAATTAAAAATAACAGCAATGTTGTGCTTTTTACAAGCCATATGATAGCAGACAAGTTCAGAAACACCTTTTTGTAAAACAGTGCATGCTTTTTGACATGGTGCAAAATTTAGTTGAAAATATCTGCAGTATATGTTTACATGTTGTGTACTTGCTCACCCATGATATGTTGGACAATATTTTTGCCTTGAGAAGGGGTATGGTCATGTCTGAGTACCCCTGCATCTTTTCAGTTGCCCCTCACCCCCTCACAGTTTGAAAAATTAGGGGCATTTTGGGGGCGAGGGGTCGCCATTCGGCACCTCTGGTGTGTGCTGTAATTATTCATATTTCTTTCGACATATTTGCAGGCTTCTTGTTCAGCTTGAAGAGACAAAAAAGAAATTTGGTGAATTCTGGAAAACCCACGAAGACAAACTACGTCAGTGCCTCAAACTACGGGAGTTCGAAGAAGAATTTAAACTTGTGAGCATTTTGTGTATATGTTTTGATTTGTCTCAATATTGTAACTTAACAATACTTTTTTATCACTTTCATGTGATGCAAGTGTACGTAACATTAGGCAACTTTAACCTCTAGTCCGAAGCCTGAGTCAAGTAAAATTTTATTTGGTGTACTTAGCTCGGCAAATAATGATTCAATGTTATAATTTGTATCAAGCAACTTATGCTAATCTGAAAATGCAACTTAGTTCATAAGTCTGGTAGCCATGCTTAGTGACTTTATAGATAGCATATCATTGTTCCCCATTGATGTAAGATTTTCTCTTAACATTACTCACTGGATTGTCTGGTCCAGCCTTGATTATTGCCGAGCTGCTGTCATTATCCTTGAATAATGCTAATTCTGATGTTACACAAAACATAAAAAAAAACAGATTTTTTTATTTATTTGCATGTCGTAATACCACATATATTAAAAATGATGAAAGAGACTAGCACCCGTGAAGATCCAGGTTATAATTCATCTTTAGCAACCCATGCTTCTTGTAAGAGGCGACTAACGGGATCGGGTGGTTAGGCAGACACATGTCATCGTATCCCAGTTTCTAAGATGATCATGATGTTGATCACTGGATTGTCTGGTCCAGACTTGATTATTAACAGACCGCCGCCATATAGCTGGAATATTGCTGAGTGCGTCGTAAAACTAAACTCGCTCACTCACTCAAAGAAACAAGTAGTGGACATATCCGTCGCAGACCAGCTGTGGACAGTTTGTATGTTTCTGTGTACAGATTCAGTATGCCATAGAGCGCAGTGTCGAGACACTGGAGACGAAGATGCCCCGAGACGGGAGAATCAGTGACGCAAGTTGAGACCCAGATTCGAGGTTTTGAAGAATTTGAACTGTCAGCTCGGGTAAGTGACATCTGATTCTTGCAAAAAATGTACATATCACTCTTTGAATGTATTTTGCTTGTAGAAGGTGAGACCATTATTTGACATTTTTTATCATGATCTTCATTTGTCATCACAGTCAACAGATAGATCACTGAATTCAGATATTCTGCAGTGTAGTTTTATTTGCAGTTGAGACAATCAGTTTGTATTTCTGTCCAAGCAAAGGGACAGCACTCCGTCACCTTGCTTTGTCCCTCTCTCTGTCTCTGTCCAGACAGAGGGACACTACCCTGTACTCGTGGTCCTGTCTGTCAGTCTGTTCAAACAAAGGGACATCACTCTGTACCCACTGTCCTGAGTGTTTGTCTGTCCAAACAAAGGGACATTACTCTGTAGCCTTGGTTCTGTCTGTCCAAACAAAGGGACATTACTCTGTTTGTCCAACTAAGGAATATTACTCCTTATCATTCATTGAAGCAAATTTGACAAATAAATGTTTTTTGTTCAGGTTGATATTCAGTGTATTGAGTAGTTAAATATGTCAATAGCACCAATTAAATAATTTTTATGATTTAATTTTTGGGGTGATTTATGAGTCATTGATGTATAAGTTTAAGGTGCAAAATCAGGGGCGGATACAGCTTTTTGAGAAAAAGGGGGGCACCCCTGTACTCCCCCCCACACACACCGCCCCCCTCTGGTTCCGTCTATGAACATTAAGTTCAATAATAAATGTTTGGATGGTATGTTTCAACCATTAAGGATTGATATCAGAGCAAAGCATTTTCTCCAAATTATGTTGTACTATTTCAAGAATCGTCCTTGACATCATGTCAGTTCCACATACAGATAGAAATCACGTTATTGATGTTCAACCTAAACATTTGTTTTGATGGTATTGTGCCTTTTGTGTCAAAGATCAATTTGTAACCTTGAAATGAGAAACTGTCATGAAAATAATCACCTTTCTTAGAAGTCAGCTGTGAGCAAAGATTAACCGTACCTAAATAGCAACAAAACATCTAGGCAAATAAAAAAACATCAATCTCAGTTGTTTTTTCAAAATAAAGAATCATCCCCATAAACACAAGGCATCCTTTTTTCACACTGAAAACGTTTTTCTGCAAATCTACGGGTACACTGTGTAAAATTCCTACTGACAATTTGTCAATAGAAAAGCCTGTTTCAGGAGGGAAAAATGCCATGCAGTTTGGACATTGGTCTGAACACTACCGCTGCAACGCTTTGTCATTTCTGTGGGGTTTGTCAGTGTTCTTCCAATCTTTTCCACAAACAATGCTTTCTGTTTGTGTGTAGCTGCTGGCAAATAGTACAGTACTGGCTTTTGTGACACCATTCTGGTGTGCACTTTTCTGGACAGCTTGGTTTAATAGGAGAACATTTTGATAAAATGTTACAGACATTTATTATGTGTCATGTATATGTTTAAGTGCTGATGTTGACCCTGAATAGTCAAAGCTGTTGATTTCAATGTTTTTTTAAATCATGATATCGGTACGAGAAAATAAATAATTTATGTAATATTTCATTTGCGTCATTTTATTTCCTTTGGGGATTATGCTTGTCTAATTCATCATTTGATTATTGTAAGATGAATTAGACTGATATTGATGATGACATTTAAAAAATCTGTTACTGTGGAAACATGTGACACATGCTGGTGCCAATCATGTCACGCTGCAACAGCTTGTCGTGAGTCAAGAATTTGCTTTGCGTATTACAATATCTGATGTTCAGGTATTCCTGCATGTATGGTTGTACCTGTGTTTTCTTCGTATAATTGCCTTCTCTGCATTGCCTTTTATACGAAATGGAATCTGTTTTGGTTGATAATTGTTCTCAGTCTTGTATAGAAATATCTCTTTCTACAATGTAGAGATTATGTAAGGGAATTTGTCTCCTGTGTCCTTTGTCATTTGTAAAACACAGGCAGGACTGATTTGTGTGTAACAGCAGGGTATGAAACTCCCAAATATTTCAGCCAGACCACTGTGCTGGTTAGATGTAAAACTTGCCAGCACTGACCAAAACTTACCTGGTCACAAGATATCTTGATATACATGTCTTAATTTTAACCCGACTGTCGGGCAGGTGAATATGCGAATCTGGCAGTTTGTGTTAAAAATAACCTGTCCCGGGCAGTCGGACAGGCAGGTATTTCGAACGCTGATGGTGTAGATCATATTGGGTTTTTTACTTTTGAATTATTCTTTTTTCAAATGTAGATGAAGTAATCTCAAGCTGACTGTTTTTGTGTATGTGCATGCGTAAGAGTTGGGTTTTGTTATCACATCAGGCCATAAAGTTTCACAATAGTGGGGGAAATTGAGATTAAATATATTTTATTGTTTCACCTCGGAATGAAAATTCATGGCATGGAGGACATGGGGAACACAGTGAGTTAGTGAGTTTGGTTTAACGCCCCTTTTAGCAATATTCCAGCAACATCACAGCGGGGACACCAGAAATGGGCTTCACAAATTCTACCCATGTGGGTTATCGAACCCGGGTCTTCGGTGTCACAGGCAAATGATTTAACTACCACGACACCCCAATATGTGCAGAAAATGGACAGCTTTATAGCATGTTTGACTTCCTAAGACTTACTTTCATGATACTGTCTGCAGGTATTTGAACCCTGGTAACAGCATGCGATATTCTTGGGGAGGGGAAGGAATGAGGTAGGTGGGTGTAGTGGTGTAGTTGGCAATGGCTGTTATTATTCATATTCAGGAACAAATTATTTTCCCCCAACCCTTTCATCATCAAACATCACCCCCATACCCATTCCCCCTCCTGAGGCGGTTGGGTGGCCTTGTGGTTAAAGTGTTTGTTCGTCTTGCCAAAGACCCAGGTTCAATTTTCGGAAAGGGAAATTGTGTGACGCCCATCTTTGGTGTCCCCCCCGTGATATTGCTGGAAAATAGCTAAAAGCAGCATAAAACTAAACTCACTCACACACACTCACCCCTTCTCCATCCCCCCATTCCCCATCCCCGCTTCACACAAACACACACATGCACAGCATAATATTCAATGGTTGTCTTCCAACTAATGGACATGGTTTTCCTTTGTTAAAGAAAGAAAGTCAGTGATTTCATGCTGAAAATCACCCATCAAGAGAGAAAATACTTACATGTATCTCAACTAAATAGTATTTAGTGATGCCAACAGATTTATTTTCTTTTCATGTAACCTTTCCTGCCATATAGCTTGAATATTGTTGAGTGCAGTATAAAACTAAAACTCTAACTAAAACTCTGACTACCATATATTACTGTATAAAAGGTAAATAATCTTGTCTAGTGATGTTAAATTGCAAATTTGACGTCTCTACTGACAAAGTCGTCTTCTGTTGTTTGTTCACGCGAAGTGATACGATGTTGTTTTCTTACCCCTGGAAAAAAGTTTTACAAAAGCGTAACCAATGGATAAGACGACCCCCTTCTGCAGACTGCTTTTTGGGGTCCTCAAAATTCGGCTTATAGACAGTAATATATGGTATTCAGTTTTGGTGAATGCATTATACTGCAACTCTGTCACTATGAACTGATACACTTCCACAAGTTAGTGTCCTTAATATGCACACTGTTAGTTCAGCGACATGCCCAAGATAATTCAGGATCAAACAGGAAAAGAGAGGGAGTCATAGTAGAACCCGGACTCAGTCCTCTTCCTAAAAATACAAATTGAGGAGGCAGCCAGATATATCTCCAAATGATTCAAACAGGAAGCCTTAGTTGTAACATTATAAACTTCCTCCTTGAAGTAGACGATACATTTTAACAGCTATAAAGTCCTCAAAGTTTTGTGATGTTGCTATGGCAACTAAATAGAGACAGTCGGTGATGGCTGGTGCAAATGTGTTGAATGCTGAAGGGACGCTTAAGCTAGCATTTAAACATGTGTTGTGAAATGTTTCAAGCAAAAAGTATTAATAGTTGCAAACAGGTACTTATCATTTGTAACATAAATAGTGAGTGAACAACATTCCAGCAATATCACAGTGGGGGACACCAGAAATGGGCTTCACACATTGTACCCATGTGGGCAATCGAACCCAGGTCTTCGGCGTGACGAGCGAACGCTTTAACCACTAGGCTACCCCACCGCCCCTGCAACATAAATATAATGATGATACTGTTATTATTTTAAAATGTTTCATATTTTTTATATTTTACCAATGAAATGTTTGAACTTTTTATGCATTCAATCATATTTCCTATTATATTTTTAAAATTTTTCTTTCATACTGATCATATATAATTAAATATATTTGTTAGGCTATTCTCAGACCCAAAGTATCTTGCAATGTCCTCTGTGTAACCTACAACCATGAATGTTTTTATTGACTAGTTTTCCATTCAAAAGGGCAGGTGGGGTGGCCTAATGGTTAAAGCGTTGGCTCGTCACGCCGAAGACCTGGGTTCGAATCCCCACATGGGTACAATGTGTGAAGCCCATTTCTGGTGTCCCCCGCCGTGATATTGCTGGAATATTGCTAAAAGCGGCGTAAAACCAAACTCAGTCAGTCAGTCCATTCAAAACAATGTGTATTACTTCCTGACAAAGTCACTCTTTATATTTACAAGAATGAGTAGCTTTGAATTAAAACAATTCTTTGAAGGTCTTGTCAGAGATTAATCATTAGAAAATATTTAAGAACAAATATGTAAAGAGTCAGGAGAATGAACAAATCAGCTGACTGAGCAGAAACCGTTTATAGCGTCAGTTCAGCTTTAAATCCAATAAATCAGCAAAAAAATAATTAAACAAGTGTTAATGACAAAATGTGTGTTCTTCTTGGCCAAATATAGATCACCACGTTCATCAGCGTAGACAAATGTTTTTGTTTACATGGTTAAGTTTCATGGGGTCAGTATACAAATGATAAACAAGAACCCTCGCCAGTCTCTCACAACCTTGTTGATATTTCTTGTGTGAGTGTAGAAAATGTTCCAAAGCAAACTCCGGGCACGAGTTTGCCTAGGTGACGA